TGTCGCGGAGGCGCGTCTCCGCCAGCCCGGAGCTGAGTTGGCGACAGGACCAGGCGCTGGGCAGCACCATGCGCATCGTGCGGGAGCTGGGGCCCACCGCTTTCGTCCTGCAGGAGGAAGAGCAGAGGGCGGCGGAGCACAGGGTAGAAGAGGGGAGGGCAAGGCGAGGCGAGGGAGGCGGAGGGCAAAGAAGTGGCACCCTCGTTCCCGCCTCCGCGGCCCCAGGAAGATGCGCGCGCTCGCGTGGGTGTTGACGCCATCAGATTAATTAGTTGGCTTTGCATTCTTTTCAAAAGACCGGCATTTGTCTCTTGCAAAGCGAACGAGGCTGCTTCTCCCGCTTTTAGCTTCACAGCTAATTTTGAAGCTAAACGCGTTTCCTAGCGGCATCGCTGCAACACACGAACTCTCAGATACGGTATTTAACGGGACGGAGAACGCCTCTGAGCATGTAGAAAATGCCTTTCGCTCCCCGTAGAGTTAACATCTCAGCTGTTCTTCCCTTCCCTTAAAAAAGCCTGAGTACTTAGGAGTGAAGGAAGGGACGCTCTGCCCAAACAGTACACATACTTTCTTTGCATTTAAGCATGCTAGTGTTTTCCTTTCGCATGCTCATATGTGCAGTTCATAAATCAAGTGAAATAGGGATTATATCTTCACTTTTGCTGATTTGGGGGTGGATTATAGTAGTATTGGTATTAGAGAAGGAATACTGTAATGGCCAATTCCGTTCGCACCAGTGGCACTGGTGATTTGATCTTGTTTTATTTCTTTATTGTTCTAAAGATGTTTTCTCCCCCTGGGATTTATTCCTATATTCACCAATAAGTGAGAGAATGCTGCCCTACACAACTCTCTACTGGACTTTCTGTATTGTACTTTGTAGCAAACTTGCCCGTTTCTTTTTCTTTTCCTGTGAGTTGAGGTACAGCTGACCTGTTGGGATCCCATCTCATACTATTTGTGCAACCCTTTTCCCCTTTCTGTGGATATTTACAGTTTTCTGCTGCTAGTTTTGCTTCTCCTCAGGGTCGGTACTAGTCCCACTTCTCTCTGTACTCACAAGGGACAAAGCTACAAATCTTGTGTCATAAAACTTTAGTCATGCTTCAGACTTCTCAAGTGTAGGCATAGGACTAATTTTAAAAGTAATAAAAAGAACATTCACATTTTCTCCCTTAGTCATCTTCTGGTTTCCTTACCAATGAGCAGCCTCAAGTCACATTCTGAAGTTTCCTAGTATGAGATAAAACTTAAGTGACAAAGTACCAAATACGTTCCCTACTTATAATATTAAATGATAAAATGGTTGAAAGAAAAAGGACAAATTGTCTTAATCTTCTCTGCAGTATTCACAAAGCAAAAGCGGGACATAATGAACAATGCTTTTCAAATGGAAATTTGATGTGTGTCACAACATTTCTAGTCTGGAAGGAAAATCTCCCATGTTAGAAAACTGATAAATAGCTAGTTAAAGCCTATGATTCCTAATGTGGAGTGCAGATACTAATCATTGAAGCAAACCCGTATATGTATGCATCCTCATATGGCTTTATGGAAGTGGATTGTGATGTCACTGATGGACTCCAATTGTCTTCTGTTCCAATAAATGATGGATGTTGACAGCATCATATATTTTGAAGGTATATGAATGTAAATAGATCTTCCTGAGAAATAGTTGTTACACTATTTCTAGCACTGCTATTTCTATTTTCTAGTGCTATTCCAGAGATACTGTGTAGGTAAAATATACATGATTTTAGTAAACACTGTCCATCTGCAGCATAGTTTTCATTTTTCTTCATTTTGTAAATGCTGTGGTATAATTGTTAAACATGCTTTCTGTTGCTTTGGTATAAGGTTTCCCTGGGGAACCCTCACTCATGCAGCTGCTCAGTATTTCTGAAAGAGAAGGACCTTTGTAAACATATCTGCTGGTAAATTATTTTTATTAAAATACAAAATGGGATACATTTCTTGTTCTATATTTAGTGTACATAGTTTTCTGCAGTGTCCCCTAATGTTCAGCTTTTTTAAAAATCAGATTTTTATTCTGCCATCAGAGTCGGAGGGAGGAATCAAGATAGGATAAAGTAGAGGGATAAAAGGAGAAAAGAGGATCGGAAAGGAGGGGATGCTGAAAGATGAGAAAAAGGCTCATCTGCAGGAAGAAGGTAGAGGCAAATTATAAGACTATTCTTCTAGAAAGTCCTAGGTAGATATTTTTCATTGAAAGGCAAAATGCTCAGGGGACTCACTTGGGACTCAGAGGCATTTTTGGAAATAAAGATGAAATTGAAGGTCTGGTACTTTGCAATATTCCATTTTTCTTTAATTTAAAAAAGTGGTATGGGGAATATGCATGTACCAAAAAAGGGGGTGTCTCTGTTGGAAATCCAGTTAAATCTGTATATAAGGAGAACTCCTCCTAAACATCCAACAGGGAAAAGAGGAAGGCAGCATACTGTTTCACCAAATGCAAGTGGGGGGAGGAGGGTCAAATTATTCCTCAACTTCATGTGCTATGGATTACAAGGTACAATATGAGTGACAGTTGTAGCAAACAAGCTTTACTAAATTTCATGCAGATGGAATGCAACTTTAGGGAATATAGGAAATTATACATCTGGCATCTTTGCATAATTAAGCTTATGTTTGTATGCATTTAAAATTGAAAAGCCAACTGCATTTAAATTGTAAAGTTACTGAATAATTGTATTCCATTTGCTCTTTTATTTTTAGGTTATTATTAAAAAAGTTCAAACTTCCAAGAGACCATGAATGTAGGTATAGGCTAATCTTGCTATTTTATTTCCTTTTTGGAACTCAGTACATTGAATGCTCCCTGTCTACATTCTCCATCACTCAGGTGATCATCCCATAGCTGGGCAGTGGGAAACAGATTGTTAAAGCAGCAAGGTACAGCAGGATTGCTAGGAGGGAGGGCAAGAATCTTCAACAAACAAAGTGTATGGTATATTTTAGGGCTTCATTATACATGTTAAAATTAATTTTTGTCTACTACAGATGCTTTACAGATTGGTCTGTTGGAAAGAGAAATTAACTATCTGCTTCAGAGTCCACAACTTGCCCCCCAAGTAAAAATAATTGCCCATTCTCTTAAGGAGTTCCAAACAGTTGATAATGGGTATATTAAACAAAAAAGTATTGGTGATGAGGATATATGTCCTATTTGCCAGGATATGCTGCTCAAAAAAATGCTTCCTGTCACTTACTGCAGGTGAGTCCCTGCTGGATTTAAAAAGAATAATTGCTGGGAGATTGTAACATATTTGTAATCATGCAGTTTGAATGATCATATTTTGTTAGAAAAAAAAATCAATTTGCAAGCAGATAATGCTTTTTGGGGAGCATGGCTGCCTCATTTGGATTTTTGTACTCATGTACATAATTCCACTTCGCTCTGGTAGGAGTTTTCCATGTGTCACTGGGCAAGAACTTGCAGCACTCCTCGGAATTGGCCTTGTTGGCAGACACTGCTGTGAGTTGTGCAGCAACATCTGGAGAGCCACAGGTTGATCTCTCGGTAGGCTGCTTGTTATTTGGATACTCTTTTGTTGTTCAATCGTTAAGTCGTATCCAACTCTTTGTGACCCCATGAACCATATCGCGCCAGGCCTTCCTGTCCTTCACTGCCTC